TGCTTAAAGTGCACCAGATTGAAGCATTTTACTTCAAAATGTTCAAACATTTCTTCCCGGTATGCCTGAGAAGGCAGATATGCTTGTTTTTCTCAACAAGAACTGTTTTTAAATGGGGGGGGGGGGGGGGGGGTTTCCTTTAAAAGTTGGACTGTTGCAGTTTCAGTGGTTCTCAGGTTACAGTTACATAGCAGTGAATATAAACAGACTGATTAATGTGAATATTACTGTAAACTAACCTGTGTAAAAGTTTCTCGAATAAATGTAATTTTTTTGGTGGAAGAAGCATGTATCATTTTTTTTACCCTGCCCCTCAAAGAATCGGAATTGAGAACCGTTAAGAACCGGAATCGAAAAGTAGAATCGGAATTGTGGAAATTCAAACGATACCCAGCCCTACTCAAGAGTAGGGCTGCACGATTTAAAAAAAAAAAAAAAAAAAAATCTAATTGCGATTTTTCTGACAAATATTGCGATTTGCGATATTTGTTTTTAAACGACCCAACGTAAAATGCGGCCATAACTCGAAGGTCGTATCAACGTACTCCCGTCTCTAGCACCCCGAGCTACGAGTGAAAGAACTAAACTTACATGAAACTTCCGTTGGGTTGCTTTAAAGTCAAGCTTCAGTTTAAGATTCACCCTGTAATATATGTAAAACATGTGATGGAGCATTACTAACCTGACTCAGATGGTTTGTTTCACCGAACCATCTAGGAAAGCTCCATTGGAAGCCATTTGGTAAAGGGCAGGCACTTTCAAAAATACTTGGCAGGTGATTTATCTATCACCTTCTATCATGGGCCACTTCTGATTGATTAACAATGGCTGGTACATGTGGAGCACAGCACTTCTGATTGGTGTGGATGACTGACACACAAGAAGAAAACATTTTGGGTTCCCTGTGGACTACAACAATGATGGGGTGCGAGTTGTGGATCGGACGAGGACGGTGTGTCGGCGTTGTTCGACAGCGGTGCGGTATGCTAGTGGTAACACGTCAAACATGCTCAATCACATCCGAGTCAGTCTTAGTCCCCAGCGAGAGGGTTTTCTCGCCGGCAGGTGACATAGTTACCACCAACAGATCTGCCCTCACTACTGACAACGTAGACAAACTCATCTTTTTGAAGAAAAACTTGAAAATAGAGTAAAGCTTGAGTACTTTTATTTAGGCATAATGGCCTCACACACACACTCACAAGTTAATTACACATGTTAGACATTGCTCCTAAAGGTACAGATTTTATTTTATATGTATCATTGTATTTATTTTATATTTTGACATCAGGAGATGTTATACAGTTCTGTATTGCCTTTTATTGATTGTGATTGAAAGACTTTCTTATTATTTATTTAAATATTTTCAAGACATTCTTTTTAGTTGACATCAGCCATTATAGATAATATGGCCATCTGAGTGTGTGTGTTACTGTTTGTGGTTTGTTTTTAACTGTGTAATACAGTTAATGATTCAAAATGTTAGAGTTCCTTATTTTCATACCAAAACTTGCACTACTGTTAAAAATATGCATTTGGGACTTTTTTTTGCTTTTCCTTGTTGTACCGAACCCGCACCGAACCGTGACCCCCAAACCGAGGTATGAACCGAACCGTGACTTCTGTGAACCGTTACACCCCTAATGCACAGACACAAATTCACAACAGGTTTCTTAAACACATGATACAAAATCAATCTCCAAGCACTACTAGAGCAGACCGGCAATATGGTCTGCTGTTGAGGTGACACTTGACAAACAGGCCATGATGTAACATCATGGCCTGTTTTATAATAATCATTATTCAAATAAAATAGAAATATTACTGGGTTCTTTGTTAACAAAAACATTTCAATTTTTCTTTTGTCACAAGATCATCATTAATGATGAGCTTACAATTTGCTGATCAGTTCCAGGCAGTCATTGAAAAGTATTTGGAGCTTTCCAAAGACAGAGCGTACGTCTTCTATCTATAAACACACCCATTCAAATAGTGTCCCAAATGTAGGCAAACTTTTGATTACATGACTATATCCAGCTGAGTCTTTCTGGGTGTGTCAAAACACAAACTGTGTCCCACTTCTTTTCAAAAACACTAGAAGATACGTTTTTGGTCAGTACATGTTACACGTTATTGTGTTAATATTCAGGGTAGAATTAAATATAGTTGTATGTGTTATGAATACAAATATGAATCAGGCAATAAGCATAATAAGTTTACTGTAAGGCCACTATGTTGAATCAAACTCAGAATAAAGGATTTCTGTTCGTGTTAAATGTTTTACTGGCAAACTTGCGAAAACCAGCTAAATGTATATTTCTTTGTTCTCTCTGCTCTCACTTCACTCTACACATTTAATTTGTTTTGTTCTAGCTTTATTCCAGCCGCTTGTATTGAAGAATACTTTAAAACATGTCAGGCAGTATCAATTATTTATAATTAGATATATGTTCACTTTTAACACTGCTACAGCATGAAAACATTATGTTGAACATGACAGTAGGTATCAGTAATAAAACAGCCCACAGCGCAGACATGTGTTTATTTGCATGTGTACTGTGTGTGTTCACACAGTTGCAGACCCCAGAGATGACTGACAGCTAAATGCACCACAACTTTGCTCCCAGGGATCATCTCAACCTGCCACTGTATACATGCAAATACACTTCTTAAATAACAGCTTTTGTAAACTAATAATTTGGGGTTTTGGACTGGCTTTGTGAAATCAACAATTTTATAGACTAAACGAAGTTATGGATATTTATGTACAAATATAAACAATAGTTGATGAAACACTATCTTCAGTAAATAACCACAATCATTAAATTATCTCATCAATGTCCTTGTTGTCAAACATCACTGACCTTACAGCTAGTATAACCATGCAAATGATTGGATCTGATATTTTTCTAATAAAAAAAATACTGGTCAACAAGTCAAGGGGATTGTCAGCTCGACAACAAAGGAGGGGGAATTTAAAGCCACCGTCTGTAAGCATCTTGTTCCCTGGTCTCTGATGAGCAGCTCATTAAGTGGTTCAGACCACACGGGATTGAAGCGATAGAAAGATAACAGTCTGTTATAGAAACACTGACTCGTGTACGATTAAGTGACTCCAGCTTTATAGTCTGACAGTTTTACGGCTGCATTGTACTGCCCACCCTTAATACATACAAGACTGTTCCTAACGCTTGCCAAAACCCATTCCCCCCTCCTTTCCTCTAGCATGGCAGACAGGGGTCACCTTAGACTGCCTTCATCAAGGGGATGTAACTCTGCCACATGCTTCTTGATCACACTAGTCTTAAAAAGGTTGTGAAAAGCCTTCATGATTTTTGTTGGGCAGAAACAAAATAACTCGAATGTTCTGGTTTTGCTGATGCCATTTGAACTGTACACAGATCATTTAAAGCTGTGTTTTTCTGGCGAGGGCCCAGAAATCCCTTTAGAACGATAAGGCTTCTTGAATTAAATGGGATTAGAAGTCAATGTTCAAAGCAGGTAATCCCCCCCAAAAAAGAGATGAACGCAAAGAGGATTCATATCACTGATAACACTAGTCATAAGAGAGAAGATGAGAAATGTGCCTTTAGCATTTTGTGTAATCCTATCTCTTTTGAACTATGTGGCGCTCAGTTTAGTTTTTGTATTCTGAGCCACCAGAGTACGGTGATACCATGTTAGACTGTTGTATCTCTACTAGAGCTGAATGGTTCGGAACAATTTAAACCGAAATGTTCATAATTAATTCTTTGTTGTTCGTCAAGCAAAAATGCCTAACACTCTGTGTCAAGGCTGATTTAATCTGCCTGATGTGCTAGTAAAATAAAAATGTTTGGATTTTTTGAGAGAGTTGATCAAACAAAGCATGCGATAAGGATGTCATTGAGGTCATCTGTCATTGTGTAGACCGAACAATAATTGTACAATCAAAAACTCGTCAGCAAATGTAAAGCACAGAAAATAGTTTTTAGTTGCTCCCCAGATAAATCTGTATTATACTTTGTCCAATAGCAGCTGATGTCTTTATGTAATTAAACATTTAGAGGAACCATATGTTTATGTTGAACCGTACGTGGTTTAGAAAGACTTTGCGAAGGTGAACCATTTAAATCTAGTGCACAACTATTTTCATATGCAGAAAAGACACTACACTTAAAAACATTGTTCAAACACCAGAGATGCAGCAGAAAACTCCGTCAATACCCCATTAGTTCCACTTCAAAATACGAATGTTTTGTTCATAATGGAGGCTGTAGCCTGGGGACACAGTCTAGCATGCACGCGTTTGTATATACCACCACCTTACTTGTTAATATGTAGTTATATATCCATCAGAGTATTGCATGTACTGGCATTACACTGCATTCCTGGGATAGCAAGCAACGCCAAAACAGCCATGGTTGGACAAAAATGGTCACACTCAAACAAGCTTAAGACACCATTTTGAAAATCCACCGATTTCTAGATAACAACTCCGAGATGCCATCTTGCCAATTATCACCAGATTAGCTACCGTTAGCATGGCTATTCAACCATTCCGAAACACCCCTATGCAGGAATATGTGCTGCTCACATAATAGTAATGTTAGCTTGTATGCTAGCCTGAAAAAAGCATCGCTAACCCGTAGCATCCTTGCATCCCTCGGCACACGCTGCTAAAAAATGGCTAATTAGCGGGCTAGCTTGGTAAAGAATAGCAAACGACAATACAAAAAAACACTCACATTGTATCAGATATGGCTGCACCGGAACAACAGCAAATACTTTTACCGCCTGGACGCAAACAACTAAGGAAATACAAAACCTTGCGATACGGCAGTTAATGTCTGTTTGTTTCCGTTATTTAAACTAGCCCCTTTAGCTTAGCGCGCTAGTTCTACCACGGAGGACAATTGAAAGGATACTGAGGAGGAAAAAAAAACTGAAAAAACCGAACAACTACCAAGTCGACACATGGACATTGCTGTCCTCCATGATAAACATCGGACGAGACTTACCTAAACCACTCGGTCGAACAGCAAAAAGATTCCCGTGTGCGTACGTGCTTTCTCCTGTGTCTGCTCTGCTCTGGGTCGGTGCGGACTGGCTCTGCTACAGCAGCGTTTTTGTCGGACCAGTGGCGCAGAGAAGACAGCTTTCACCCGAAGAGACGGCCACCGTGTGGGGGATGGGGATGCACTGCCGGGAGGGAGAGAGGGAGGGAGAGAGGAAGGGAGGGATGCAGGGATGTAAGGAGAGAGGAGGGGGGGGGGGGTCCCACCGATAACATATATAGAGAGGCTTTGATAAAAACCAAATAGTAATAGAATAAAGGTCGATATTGTTATAACCAAAAGCAAAAACAGCAGATGAGACACAATACCGTTAGTTACTGTGGTTCAGTTTGACTGATACTGTTTGTACTCTCAATTATTAAATAATAGAACATTTGATTTTAATAGTTAATGCGAATATTAAAGGCTAGTCCACTATGCATGCATAATACATACTAGATGAAAAATATGAAGGAAAATGGTCTATTGATAGCCTGTAGTATAATCACACTGTTACTTCTTTGTTCTTTTTTGTGTGTGTTCACTTTATGGATTGTGTCCGTGTTTTTTGCATTGATAAGAAATTACCAATATCAGTATGTCGTTGCATTATAATATTATTATCATGCGTATGGCGCTGTGGTAATATAAGTGTATGTTTACAAAAATCTGCCGTTATGCATCGATGCGATCAACATTTTAAGGCAGGAAAGTGTTATTTGGTCAGCAGCACTGTGGTGGTGAAACGGTATTACAGCACGGCTGCAAGTTCACGTTCACAAATTCATAGGCTTTCGCTTCGTGCATAAACCAACCACAAATGTTGCTTCACAGCAAGGCAACGCCGCCCAGTGGTTATGAGTTGCTTTGCACCACAATGACTGAGTTATTCTAAATCTACACAGTCTTTGAACATACAGTAGGACTACCTGAAAGTTTGAAACCCACATTAAATTGTATCTTGATGCCAAATCGTGCATTTATTATGCTATCTATTTTATTTAAATGTAAATGTTAAATGTTTTAAAATAATGTTACAGTTGTATTGCATTATCATTAAAACACATGATCTGCCACTTTCAATATAAATCCTACTTGCTGTTCATAGTCTAAACACTATTTTTGGACACCAATACGTATTGTAGGATACATTCAACAGAAGTCCATGTATTTTCCTTCAGTATTTATTTATTTGCAATTTGAATCACAAAAATAACCCTTGTTTTTTATACTTTTTGGCTTCTGGCCTATTGGGGGTTTGGACTTTTTATATATTTATATAATATGTGTACAACTTGTTTTTCACATACTTTTTAAGTCCTGTATTGCATGAATAAATACGAATTCAGGGAAATTACTGACACATACAGCTCCAGCGACAAAGGATTTGCTTTTAGGCAAAACGCATAATTCCAGATGGTATTTGTGAACCCCTCGATAATATCGATATGGAATTGAAAACTGGTGAAGTTTGGACCAAACTATTTTCGTAGTCTATGATTGGAGACTCCCACCGAGTTATAAGGTTTAGCCTACGGGTTTAACCCATAGGTTTAACCCGTACTGTTACGACCAATTCCAGAGAACTACAGGTCCCAGCTGCCCTTGCGCACCCTACCACCACAAACAAAGAAGAGCCGCATACACACAACTCGCGGGGATTTGAAAAAACATTGAAACATCTAAATATAATTAACAAAACGGCGCACTTTTAACAAGGATGATGTTACGTACAACTGTAACGGCAAGAAAATCAAAGACTCTCCGAGGCATCGCGTGATTTCACGCTTCCGGAAGTTAAATAGCATGAGAGAGAGAGAGAGAGAGAACTGTCCGAGGTGCTGACACTGTAAGTAGTGCTGGTGCATGTCCTGATTCAGTCTACATACCTGTATATTTTAAATGTAGCCTATTTCTTTTTCTTATGCATGTTTTACCATCAACTTTACGTACTCTGTAGTTTCCATACCTGTGTTTTCAACTGAATATTGTGTTCACCATAATAAATGGGCAAATCACAACATCTCTTCTTGAACTGTTCTCAGTTATGTTATGTTTGATATCTACTCACCTCACTCATACACAGACACATATTCTTGTATTACATCATAAGACACACTATTACACTACTCTTTGAATATGCATCATGATCTTTGATTTTTTTTCTCCCATTTATGTATAAATACATTGTCAGAATTTGGGAAGATGGATGAATCACAAGAGTCCTGTATCCTCAATGCCGAAAACTGCAGCAGCAGCAGCAGCAGTGCCCTCAGCAGTAAAACGGGCAACACTCCACAATGCAACGGTGCTTCAGAGTGCAGGACCCTGCTCCATCTCCCTGAGTCACACGGTCTCCAGCTACTGAGCGTGCTCAGTTCATTCAGGGAGCAAGGCCTGCTGTTTGACTTCACCATTAAGGTCCAGGAACAAAGTTTTCCCTGCCATCGATGTGTCCTTGCAGCATGCAGCGATTTCTTCAGGTATCTATATATCCATCTATCTATCTATCTATCTATCTATCTATCTATCTATCTATCTATCTATCTATCTATCTATCTATCTATCTATCTATCTATCTATCTATCTATCTATCTATCTATCTATCTATCTATCTATCTATCTATCTATCTATCTATCTATCTATCTATCTATCTATCTATCTATCTATCTATCTATCTATCCATCTATCTATCTATCTATCTATCTATCCATCTATCTATCTTTCTATCGATCTATCTATCGATCTATCTATCTTTCTATCTATCGATCTATCTATCTAGTTTGTTGATAACTTCTCTGTGTTTAGGGCCATGTTTGAGGTGGATATGCGAGAGCGTGGTGATGGTTCAGTGACTCTGGGTAACCAGTGTCCAGTGGCAGTGCGTTTATTCCTGGACTTTGCCTATTCAGGAGAGATGCTCATCACTGATAGCAATGTAGACATGCTGTTTCAGCTTGCTTCTTTTCTGCAGGTAGAAATACATTATCATTTCTTCTTTCTATTTATATAAACATAAAGTACCTTGGGACAAGTCGACCAAGTGTGTGCCTTTTACCAGCGCCTTCCCACGTAGCTCAGAGTGTACTATACAAAAACTTGAATTTGTATTGAAATGTCACAGGTTTAAAAAATAAAATTACCAAAGGCTATATTCATTAGCTACGGTACACCCTTACAGATGTTTTCAACCTTCTTGACTAATTACACCTCCTCTAATGGCTGTGTGGTAATGTAAAAACACCTGAGTGGGTGTATAGAGTCAAATAATTTGAAGAATAACATTTATTAATCATCAAGTTGCTTAGTAAGATACATATCTCTCAGTGACAGTTTTTGAATATGTATTGTATGTGTCCTCAGGTCTCAGTCTTGTCCGAAGCGTGCAGCAACTTCGTGATAAGAGCCATGGATCTCAGTAACTGCCTGTCCCTATTCTCCCTTGCTGAGGCCTACTGGCTCTGCATCCCTCCTCCAAAGTGCCAATGAGTTTGTGGTTCAGAACTTCGCTGAGCTTTCCAAAACCCATGACTTCCTGGATATGCAGGTACAACTGACAAGATAATGAAGATAGTATATCCTAGAAGCTGATTTTGATGTAGCGGCATATGAAGATTATAATTCAATAAATCCATATGAACACACTCAGTATTAATCATTTCATCTGGTTCTTATAGGTGAATGTGTTGGAAGCATGCCTGAGGTCAGATGCTCTAAATGTGCCCAGTGAGGAGGCTGTGGTGATGTCTCTTCTTAGATGGATACGCCATGATCTCTCGGAAAGACAAAAGCTGTTGCCGGGTTTGTTATCTCTAACCAGATTCCACCACCTACCTGCACCTGTACTAAAGGTAAGAGCATGCTGTATGTACAATATGTTTGTATTTGATATGTGGTCGTATTATAGTCTCACCCTTCCTTTGTGACACCTTACAATGCCTCTTAGACTCTGCGTGATGCAGATGATCTCCTCTGCAATAGTGAGTCCTGCCTCGCCCTGCTCTCTGAAGCTCAGAGCAGGCAGGATCAGTACAGCGGCCTGCTCTCTGACGCCAGGCCAGCCACCACACAGAGCTACATCTTCATCCACAAAACAGAGGAGAATGGTGAGATCCGCCACAGCTTCTGCTACCATCTGGAGACAGACCAGTGGAAAGAGCTGGGAACAGGGCACAGAGAGGGGACGGCCATGATGCCAGACCCACCGGGTTCCTACCTTACTAGCTTTGCTGAGAAGGTATGTTTGAGATTGAACGTTGCTGCTATTAAGCGCAGAGTCTCCTAACCTTTTTTGCATTGTTTCTCTTTGAAATTGTCAACTTATGCACCCCTTACTGCAAGTAAAAGCTTTGGTGTTGGCCCAGGTTATACGTTTTCTTTTCCAGATTGTTTTCTTTGAAATGTTCTAAGAGACCCCCAGAGGTTAAAGTATCCACTATGTTACAAGTAATAAAACAATAATTATTAAAAGTCAGAACAATAAACCATAATTTTCTTATCTTTCCACTGTATCACTAAGATATTTGTGACAGGTGGATGCCGGGGGAACTGTTGCCGGGCTATACGTCTCCATGTGGCTGAGCCGTTCCATGACGCCACAGATGAGGTTTGGTGCTTCTGTCCTGTGACCCTCACCTGCACGCCGGCTCCAGCCATGCTGAAGCCCAGAACCACACACACAGCTGTAACCTGCCTGGACCGTATCTACGTCATTGGAGGACGGACAAGGGGATCCAGAGGGGGGGCTCCCAGTCTGCTGGAGGTAACAGTGTACCCTTTATGGACGATTATGACCAGATTCTTGGTTAAGATGTCCTTTCATTATTACATTTGTATTGTGCCAGTACAAATAGTGTTCTTTTCTAAAATATTTTCCAGGTGGAGTATTTTAATCCTCTGACCCAGACCTGGAGCTCAGTCAGCCCACTGCCCACCGCCATCTACTACCCTGAGGCCAGTGCTTGTGGCAGTGTTATCTATACACTGGGGTCAGAAGTGGAGATAACAGATTCCTTTAACCCTTCACTGGACTGCTTCTTCAGCTATGACGCACAGCAGGACCAGTGGAGCCGCCTGGTGGCAGAGTTTGGACAATTCTTCCATGCTACCCTGGTCAAGGCAGTGTCAATAGATAACACACTGCACATCTGTGACCTGTCCACTTACAAGGTGAGCCCTCAGCTGGGCACAAATGAATGAACGAGTTGTCATTATTGTATCTCAATGTGTTTATAGTTTAAGCTTTCCTAGGACTGTTTAAATAATGAAACACAGAGTTCAAAAGGGTGACTTTTCCCATCCAGATCTACAGTTTTTGTCCAGAGACCTGCGTGTGGAAGGGTCAAGGGTCCTTTGAATGTGCTGGTTTCAACGCAGGAGCAGTGGGTATGAAAGACAAAATCTACATCCTGGGTGGAGACTATTCACCTGATGAGATCACTGATGAAGTTCAGGTAGGAGAAGCTTTTATTCATAATAGCTGACCTACTGAGACGTTTTAAATCATATTTCTTAACTAAAGGCACAGGCCACCAAATCTGTCAACATGGATCTTAATGGTAAATTGTCTCTGCTTTGAGGAAGCCTGGAAGAAGTGATCATAAATCACTAGATAACTATTGACATATTCATAAAAATAGTCAACATTTAACAAATAAGGCTTGCTATTTTTGTCAGTTTATTGTTTTAAAGTGTTAGTTTCAAGCAATATGTATCGAGTAATTTTGCCATGATATCTCTATATTCACACTGCATATGAAGAGTACGTTATTTATTATTACTCTCACTTATATTTTATTTATCACAATTACAGTAAATAATTCAAGAGGAAAGCTTATTTATGATACATTAGAATGATAAAGTTATTGATTTAGTAGCAAGGACACACCAAAGACCAACAATATGTGATTAAAGTGTAAATGAGTAACAACAACGAGAATGGATGGAAATAAGAGAGGAGATGGTTTGGATAATACCTGGAGATGGTAGAGAAATTAAGGTTTTTAATAGGAATAAAAGAGGAAAATTGAGTTAAAGGTATAACCTGACGTCTGCTGATATTTCTCTTTCTGTGTTTCCTTGTGGCCTGTACAGGTGTACCACAGTGGGAGAAGTCAATGGGAGGAAGTGGCTCCCATGCCCAGAGCGCTCACTGAGTTCCACTGTCAGCTCATCAGCTTCAACAGATACAAAGACCCATGGGGGGACACAGCAGATACACACTCTTGAATAGTCGATTTGCATGTGTGTTACATGTGTCTGATGGATGCTGGACAGCTGACAGAGGGAAAGACAACTTTCCACCAACACCACATCTTTCTCACATCATTAAAACAAGACTGCACCTGAGCCAGATTATTTACTACTTTTTAATTTAAACATTTGATTTAATATGTTCACTTTGCACGAGTGAGTTGTCTGCTGTCATAGGATCTTTGTTGTATTTAAATCAAAATGTGGTCCCTCCCATGGAGGAACCTTATTGAGCCAAAGACTACAGTATATTGGAAAGCCTATTTTAATAACTGACATATTTTGTTCCTATGATTTAGCTGATGGAAACCTGCTCATAGTATAGTACCTTATTTAAAACTCAACTCAAATCCTCTTGACAAAATTGTGTAAATAATCTTGTTGGATTTTCACTTTAATCTACTTGCCTTTATCCTGTTTAGCCTGTCATGTATCCATGCATGCCCTTTTTCTCCTCTCATGAAATAACATTCTACATGTGATCAATACACAGATCACCTGACAACTGAACCTATAGAGATGAACACTGTACCTTGGAAGAACATAATACGTTTCAGAAACCAGGAGGAGAAAAATATGGGCTTTGTGGTGTAAACCACAAATGCGTTGTACGGTTGTGTTAAGAAACCTACAAAACCAATACAACAAATACCGTAATGTTTTATTGGCAAGGAGTGAATATAAACATAATGCTTTATTAATTGAGTTGATGTGTTTTTTTTGAGTAGATACAGTGTCTGCATGTGATACATTCATCATCGCAAGTAAAAACAGAACAATAGACACAACAGCATGGTTTTATGTTTCAAAGGGCACATCAATGGCACAGTGACATGCATTTACACCACTGTTAGAAGGATTACATCCCTTTAAAAATAGAGCAGCAAGCCCCTGTTCTTTTATTTGTAATCACCCGCATGTTTTCTGTAACTCCTCCTCTGGCCTTGTTCAGAAATTCAAAGTCACATTCAAAAACGTTTGAGAATAAATACACTGATCAGTTGACTTTGAAATTGTCATTAATAATCTGCCCCATCTGTAACAAGCACATGGTTATAGGACTCTAATGAAAGCTGCAGCTCTGGACCTGACCAGATTAAAAGAATGATAAGATGTAAACAGTGTCTGAACATGAATCACTTAGCAGCAAAGTCCTACAGTAACAATGCTGGTTTTCCTCATATCGCTCCGACTCCTCTGGCACCTCGGTCATCTCCTCTCTTCTTGCTCCATGATTTAGTCTTGGTAAGTTTTCACCAGCAGCCACATCAGCAGCACAGTGATTAAGACGATCGTGAAGTTGATAAACAGCTCCTGGACTGAGCGATCCATGGTGGTATGACACCCGAGGATAGGAGGAAAGAAGGAGACAAGAAGGAAGGATGCAGATGTGTTGGATGCTTTTACAAAGGTTTGGCTGGTCCTGGACCTGAGAGGTGCAAACAGCAGAAAACAATACATGATATATGTGTGTGTGTTTGTGTGTACATGTTTTGCCACCCTTTTGCCTCAGGGAGAAGGGCCACAATGTTCCTTTATATATACACAAGGGACATAACGCATACTTCCACAAAGCATATAAATAAAAAACACATCATTATCACATAAACAAAGAAATACCATTCCAAAATCCTTTTACACTTTTTCATTTATTATTGTTAGTTGCATCATTTTGAATGGTTTTCTTTGAATTATTGGCCATATTTTTTTGTTACTAACAACAACAAATGACAACACAAAATATCAGTGAGCTGTTACCTTTCCGCTTGGCACTGTAAGAAGAAGGAGGAGAAATCAGATATTCTTCTCTTTTCCAGCAGTACTTGACTTCAGAAAGCTTGTCTTCTCACTGGAAGCTTCTCTTGTGTGGCTCCTCTTCTCTGCAGCATCTACCAGCAGCTGTTCTTCTTGCTGTTGTCCCGTTCTCTGGACAGTGGAAGGGGCCTCTCCTAAAGTAGCCATCCTCAGCGGACCGCCCATGTTTCACATGCACACAGACTGATGTCACACACCTTTTTCACAATCTCATCCACTGGTGTACCACACAACAGAGGAGGGAGTCAGGGCTATTTATAAAACATTATTGCAGATAAAGGTGGATTACAGTGGTTGCAAATACAATACAACTCACAACTTCAGATGGATAAAGGAAACTGTAACAGTATCTGAGTATCTCTGTATGAGCCATATGCAAAATGGGGAAACAAGTACAACAAAGCGTTTGAATCCAGCTGATGCCATTGTTCATCAATCTGTCACAGAGCAACTTTGCAAAGGAAAGGTCAATTCCTCCCAGTTATCTAAATTTGAAATCTGAAAGTTATTAAAATACAATAAGGAGATGTGTTTGTCATTGGATAGGGTTGCCTTTAGAGCCTGGCACCTTTTCTAAATTGATTTATATTAACTGATGAATGCACATAGCCTGGGCTTAACCAGATTCTGCTCCCCTCAGGGAAGTGCACCAATATACTGTATTAGCTCCGCTGGGATAAGTAGGTTATGTTTTATAGCTCTATAGTGTAATAATGATCCCTGACCAAATTGTATATCAAACGTTTATCAATCAATCAATCAACCAATCAATCAATCAATCAATCAATCAATCAATCAATCAATCAATCAATCAATCAATCAATCAATCAATCTGGTTTAGTTTCAACTATATAAGTACCATGCATTGTAAGAAGATGAAAACAACTCTCATGTCTCTATGAGTAATATGGAGTTAAAGCTAGCAGCTAGTTAGCTAAGCTTAGCAAAATGTGTGGAAACCAGGTGGAAACACAGGAACAGAGAGCAAAATCCACCTACCAGCAGCTCTTTTTTCAGAGCTTTTATGTTGTACCTATCTAAAGATCCAGCCTAGCTGTTCACTCCTGCTTCCAGCCTTTGAGCTAAGCTAAGCTAGGAGATGATAAACAGCTGCTGGCTAAAGTTCCATGTTTACGATGCAGTAATTGTTGTTGAATTTATTCCATCCAACTCTCCGCCAAGCAAACAAGTGCATTTGCCAAAATTATTACTTTATTATTAACAGTTTTTTCTTTTTCTTGTGGTCGTGTCCACCCATTGTATTTGTGCATTGTTCTATGTTATGCTGGCGCTAAGAAAGGGATTTTTGACGATTGACCACAGCAAATCTCACACTTGGCAGCTGCTTAAAACGGTGTTATCTCTGAACTAATGTTAAACCCCCTTGACACAGACACCTTCTACTGTACACACAGACGGGTTACAGCAGGACGGGCGTATGAGCTCGGGTAGCCTTGAACCTTTCCATTACAGGATTCCAAGGTCATTCCCAGAGGATTAACAGATCAAAAAGACTGCCATTTTAGCACCATGCTGCCCTGCCAGCATCGGCCCAACAGCTATTTGACCCAGGGATTCCCATTGTCAGGGAGATCTAGCGCTTGGGTGCTTGATTAAAGCAGGGTGAGTTGTCCAGGCATCTCTGTGTGGGGTGGACCATGGCCCACTCTGACAGCTGTGTGTTTGTGTATAAGCGCTGGCAGGGTTACCCTCCAAATCAGTGGAGACAGAGGGGTGTCAACAAGGCCTCAGAGTGAGACACCATTCCACACATTCTGGGACATTGAGTGTGTATGGTATGTTTGTGTGTGTGTGTGTGTGTGTGTGTGTGTGTGTGTGTGTGTGTGTGTGTGTGTGTGTGTGTGTGTGTGTGTGTGTGTGTGTGTGTACATGCATACTGTATGTGCATGCATCAAGGCTTATTGTCTGAATTTGTTCAGTTATAGCAGAATTAACAGAATAGTGGACAAATCAACTTGATCAAGAATTCCTCTGCAGCTATGTATGCCATGAGACAATGAGCTATAAAATAAAGATGCTAAACAGCTCATAATTAACATGTTCACGGTAGTTCATTCATGATTTACTGGAATACAATCAATAATGCTTAAATATATACAGATTTGACTATTATTCAAATTCTGCTCTACTTTAAAAAGTATATAGATATAGATAATATATTACATCTGACAGCCAATTTAAAATTGAAAAAGGCAAGTCAAACAGGATTTGATGCAGAAAATGTGCTATGAAGAAAAGCATTTCCCTAATGCTCTTGTTGAATAAACACAAAAACGCCATGTGGTTTAGCCTGAACATTGGTGTACAAATAGCTGGCACTGAAAAAATGATTTAGCCCACAGCTTTGCCTTTTCGAGTGTTTAAATATGTTCCAGCAGCTTTGATTGAAGAGGAGATAGGAATGAATCTAAGCTGACAGAGAGATCATACACACATACAAGTTCAGCACTGTTCAGTCAATATTATTATCAATTTCTCTCTCTGTGATACAAAATAACCTGTTCCATCACCCTTCATTGTTTTGGAGTATCTTTCTCCACAAGACAGATGTCTATTTGCACAGAGTACCAAGAGATCAGAATCACTATTTTAAAGGCAGGATCCGGTTTCTTTATCCTTCCATCTCTCGCATGCAGTCCTGAGCTAATTAGACTAAGATGCCAGCAACTTCTTTGCCAGCCTCAAATCAAAGGGTAAAGGCATGCCTCAGGGTAAACAAATGGTCCCACTCTGGTTCTCACCATTATACTGCTCTTTCTGAGCATGGCTGATGTGTGAGGTGAAGCTGCCCTTGAGCACTAGCAAGGGAAATATCTTCCTAATCTCCTGAGAGTGATATTTCCATTTGGCAGAACCTTGACACTCTTTGTTCACAAGTTCATAAATATCTAGCCAACTCGGCAACATTTTGTTAAAATTAGACTTATAAGATAAAGTTCAAAGTTTGTCTGACAAAAAAAAAGTAACGAAACGAAATTTCACTTCAAGCTTGAGGTTTTTATCATGTTACATGTTTATTTTTTATTTTGGAACTTTGTTAGCAACTTCTCAACTGCTGTTTCCGAGATCACAAATGTACTTTGAACATCAGCTTTTGCAGCTTGCATGTGAAGTCCTCTTAAAAAAGAAAAAGTGAAGTACAAAAAACTGCTCAATGTTCGCAGGAAGATTGTGTCACATTAGAAAGTTCCAGAGCAGCTACTAAGAAGAGCCAAAGGTTTAATCGTTTTCTCAACTTCTTACAATAAGATTAGGAAGTCAAATTGACTGATTGCAACACACTTGTCCATCAGAATTTTTTTAAAGAATTAAAAATTGATTCCTGCCCTTTGAATCAAACCATCTTTCCCCTCTTTAAAAAACGATTCTGTGCATGGGATAAACAAATAAATTCAAACAAAGAAGTGATGTTATATTATTTCAACAGTTTATTGTTGCAAACATTACATATTTGTAAATGATTTCCAAATCCTCATGTTAGCCCTGATTAACTGCTCTACAAATGTACCTGATGCTCATAAAGAGTAGATTCTTTGTATTTTTAATAATTACACCGTTTTGAAAACAAGATGGAGCAGAGTGTTGTTATGATGTTGGAAAGGGCAGCCTCCTGTCTCCTGTCTGACCAGCTGTTGTTTTGTCGAACCAACTGAACATGCTGTTAAGATGAGGAAGGGTTCCCACTGGCCAGCAGCTCAGCCTGGCACTGTAATTACTGAGATGGCTGAGGACAGGTGAGGGCCTCAATACACAACACACACGTGTATAATCGCACACACAGACGCACAAATGTTTCACTCTCATAAATACATACAAAAACGTCAACGTGCATGCTGGAACATATGCTGTAGAGGAATTCAGGGAGGGAGGGAGGAAGCAGAGAATGCAGCAAACCGGCAGAAAAAAACTATAGAATAGGCACAGGTCATTTAAATTTAGCAACATGCCTGAATTTGAATGATGGCTTGTATTTGAACAGCATCTGCCCTGATGTGTAGGATATTGAGTTTGTATTAATGCATACCTGGCCCAGCCTGTGATAATACTCTTTCAATTGTAGGTAATATTAGAGTATCCTCAGTTGCCAGCATCTGAGTGCAGTCTGATGATGGATGAACGAATTGGATGGAAGTGGAATGGCAAACAGTATCCCAAGGATAGCCATCCTACATACTTACACTTTTATCCCTTAGTATCAAGTTATCAAGGCCTATAGAATTATCCCTGGAGCATATTTGTCTGTCTTTTGTTGGGAGATTAGAAAGGCATGCAGCATGGATTTGCCATCAGGGTTTAGGTGCTAATGAAGCTACAAGGCAAACACTGGATGTCAGTAAGGCTTGAATACCAAGTGACAGATGATTAGCTCAGAAGAGAAAAGAGAAGGACTACTTACATAAAAAGGGCAAGAGTAATACGAGCTTGACAGATATACACCACAATAGAACATTATGTCCCTGCTTGGATAACCACTTGAAAATAAAATTTCAACCATGTACATTTCAAACACCTGTCTATTAGAACTTCACTAGAGACACACATTGTTAGACATTGATTTGTAACCCGTTTACTGTACCTCTACTGTAGTGGGGTTTACAGTACAATATCTGTACATTAGGAGTACCTTAGAGTATAACTGTTTTACTGTATTTTTGGTATAAATAATGATTATGTAACTGTGTTCTATAACACAGTAGGCCTACTGTTTATTCGTTTTGAATTTTTACACTGTAATTTTGTTATTACAAAATATTATTATTAAGGTTTACTGTATTCAATATAAGAATAAGTATATCTTGTTGCCAGCCATTTTAAAGTAGAAGTAAAAGGGAGAAGCATGCAGGACTCTTACTTGTATTTTTACACAATATGGTTGTTGTAACTGAGAAATTCTTCCACCATAGAATTCCTCTTGTGCTTTTTCTGCTCTGACACGTTAAAAATATCTGCTCTGAAAAGGGTGTTAAGCAGGGTCGGCGTCATGGGGGGTCATTCGCGGGCCATGCCCCCCCAAATGAGTCACTGTGCCCCCCCAACGCAGGGTGGGCAAGCCTTATTGCCACTTTGCCG